GAGTAAATCTGTATATTTTAATTAGATCCAAAGCATGGTGAGACCAAATTACTATAGAGCACCTAATATAAGGATTACTCAGGCATAAGTTCTTAAACATGCCTTACCCAAAACAGTGTTTATTATATGGGCGGACTAGAAAGAAACCACTCCTCATTCCTAGGTATATCACAGGCTCTAGCATACATTTTGAAGCTGCTAGCAAATGTTTCCTTTTTGGGGAATGACCTGTTTGCTTTGTAGGGTTGGAGATAACAGCTCACGGGTTGGGTGGTCACGTGCTGTACGGCACATGTTTCGGTGCTAGCTGCTAAGTTTCCTGGTTGTTAAAAAAAAAAAAAAAAAAAAAATACAAAATAAATTAAATACATTGTGGAGCCTTTTAAGGACTTAAAATAATTATTATTTGAGTAAATTTAACAAATACATACTCATTTGGATTTGTTTAAAATATTGAATTTTTTCTTATGGTTCTAAAAATTATAAATATTCTATCAACAAAAGAAAAAAAGGTATTTACCAAATTATAGAAAAAAAAAAGTGAAATTTCTTATTAGTTTCTCTATTAAATAAATTAGTTGAAAATTGTTATTGAAATTATTTTTCTGAAATCATTAACATTATTAATTGATTTAATTAATATTAATTTAAAAAATTCATTTTGTTATGCGATTTTAAAAATTAAAGAAAGCTGGGTGGTTTTACAACAACAAGATTACAATTCGTATTCTTAAGTAAAAATTCAAATAAATTATATCCCCAACTTATTTTGCCTGAAAGAAAGCAAATTTTTTTATGGGAATTTGAGTTTCAACATATTTTTATTTGTCTTAAAATTTACTCTCTGTAAATAAATGTTAAAGCAATTCAATGTTTGAAACATAAACACTTTGAAAAATATGGGACACTTCAATTCAAGCAATCACATCTATAGTTATCATGCGTAACCCGTGCTATGCACGGGCAAGTACAAAAAATGGTAAATAATGTTGAACATGCTAAAAAATTACAATTAATATAGAATATTTATTTTAGATGGGTATTTGAAATAGATATATTTAGTGATCCTACTATATTTAATTAAATAAATTTTAGAAGAAAAAAAATTGAACTGAAAATTAAGAGTAAGAGTGGAATTTGTAAATATAAGATAAGATAAAACAAATTAAGTTTAAATTGAAGATAAACTTTATATATATTTATATAAGAAAATTGACAAATCCTAGAAAAATGAGGTAGAGAAGAATTCAATAATATGAAAAAAAAAAAAAAAAAAGTTGAATTTAAATTAAAAAATAAGATTAGACAAACTTAAAAAAAATAAAATCTAATATACTCTAATCACAGAAATGGAGAGGGTAATAATTAAAATTAAGATAAGATGAAATGCCACTTATAATTTTTTAAAATTTGTAAAAAAAAAAAACTAAAATAAAATCGAGGTAGTATGTAAAAAATCAGATAAGTTTAAGTGCCACTTATAATTTTAAAATTTAAATTTTGTGTAGTTTAAAAATAAAGCAATTATGTTATCTTATTATACAAATTTTAACTCTATTTTGTGTCTACTACCTATAATTTAATCAAATTTTTGTCTTCTAAAGCTACTTAATTGAAATAAGAAAGAATAAAAAATTTAAGAAATATAAAAGTGAAAATCAGATAAAAATAAATAACTTAATAAAATCAAAAGCAGAATCGATCCTGTAAATATAAGATAAGATTAAAAAAATTATAATGCAAATTTGAAGATAAATTCGAATATAGAAGAAGAAACTTAGATAAATTGTAAAAGTAAAAGAGAGCAAAAAACACAATATGAGATTTAAAACATGTTACTTCTTTCACATAAGATGTAAAAATTTGCAAATTAGTTAAATCACCCGGTTTATTTCTTTAGAACGTATTTTTGTTTCTCAATCTTTTTGCCTAATTTCATATTGTCATAGAGTTAGGTTTTGAGATTTATAAATTTATTTATTTATTATTTCAAATATCCTTGGGTAAGACATAAATTGATGAAGAAATTTGAAATAGAGTCAAACTCATCTTTTATTTTTAAATATTTTAAAATCTTTTTCTTTTAAATATTTTGAAAATTTTTATATCCATACCATAAGTAATTAAAAAGTGAAATAAAAAATATAAAAAAGATAAGAAAAAATAGGAAAATAGAATGAAGAGAAGAATAGGATGTGCCACATAGGAAAGAGGTTCAATGAAGATTTAGGATTGAGAGTTTTGATTTTGTTAAGAGATCACTACTTT